TCTCTCCCCAAGCTTCTCACTTCCCTCCCTGTCTTAGCTTATCTCTCCTCTCCTCCTCCAACTCCATTTTCTGCCACAGCTGCAGCGCTTTCCACAGTCTCTTTCCCAACATCTGAGGCCCATGAGGACTCCTGGAAGAGGGCCTGACACCCCGGAGGTGCCTGAGGTGGGGTTCCCTAGAAGCAGAGCCGTGAGCCATCTGGAAATGATTTCAAAGGGACCAAGGAATGCTAGAGAGCTCTGGGGACAAACTGGGCTCAGCTGGAGGGCAGCCTCAGCCTGATCCCCCTCAGCCTGATCTCAGGGAGCTCTGGGCCCCAATGGCACCATGGACTTGTCCTGCCTTGGAGCAGAGGCCAGACGCACGTACCCATGAGTCACTGTGGACCCCCCTGAGCAGGGGAGGGGAGCTTCCAACATCCCTGGCCCAAGGCCTTCAACTGCAAGGCCTCAGCAGTCACCATTCTCAGCAGCTGGGATGGGCTGCTATAGGGAGGGGCTGTTGGCAGAGCTCTGAGCACTTCTGAACTAGGCGACACGGGGTGCTGGGACCCCTAGCCAGCCTCTTCAGGGACAAGTGCTCTGTTTGATGGGCACCACAGAATCAGCTGCAAGTTCTGTTATATAGAAAAAAGGCTTGTGTTGTGCACCACGATTCACAGCCCAAGCTGACTTCCCAGCTTCCATCCCACCTCTAATGGCCTGCCCACTCCCACATGCCTGTGTCAGGCCGCTCACATCTTTATGGCTCTTGGGACCTGAGCTGTGGCACCCTTGGTGGCAGGAAGCTAGGTGGCCTGTGTCCCCAGGGGTCCCTGATTTCTGCCCTCTCTCCTCAGTTACTTCAGCCTGTTGTTGGCTACAAGCAACAAATGGCCCCCAAACTGGGGTGTGGTGGGTGTCCCCTTCCTGCTCTCCTGCAAGTATGGTGAGTGAGCACTGGGAGCCCAGCGCAGCCCCTCCGGGGCCTGCCCCTCCTGGCCCCCCCCCCATTCCCAGTGCAACCTGTACAGCTCTCTGGATTTTCTTCTTCCTGTATATCCATACCCCCCCTCTATCAGCACCACCCGAAGAGCCCTTCCCCCAGAAGACCCCCCTTTTAAGTAAAGATGTGGTACACATATACAATACATACTACCACCCAGCCATGAAGCCTTGCATTTGCCGCAACATGGATGGATCTTTTGAGTGTCATGCTAAGTAAATAAGTCAGGTTAAAAGCCATAGGATTTCGCTCATATATGGGATATAAAAGAAAAAGTAACAAACTAACAAAACAAAACCTCAGACACAGAAGCCCCCCCCCC